AAAAAAAAAAAAAAAAAAAATTATATACGTTTGTCCAATAAGTTGGTTATATGAGAACTTGTCAATAAATCGAGAGTTTTGCTTTTTTTTTTTTGCCTACGAAAACTTCCGTGCATGACAATAAAAAAAAATTTTTTGACCAAAATTTAGATCCTCTCTTTTTACATTGACAAGTGTTCATAAAAATCATGAAAAAAAAATCATGAAACCAAAACATAATTATAAACTACAAATTAACAAAAATGTCAAAAAAAAAAAAAAAATTTTCCCCTTAAATATTATCACATCACTTCACATCACCCATCATCTAACACTAATGATATTAAAAATAGATAATTAGGATATGAATTACCAAAGAGTAAATCTATCAAAAGTATTATGAAAGTCTTTTGATGTTGTCGAGGGTATAGAATTATCTTTCGGAGTTAATGGACAGGTGAAAGGAGAATTTTCATTAAATAAACTTTCCATATCATCTGTGATCAAATCAATTATATTACTAAAATCCACTTCCAATTTTTTTTTATTCAACTCTGTGTTCACGGCTCCCACGGCTGATTGAAAATTCACTTTAGGCCAAGAATAATTATTCTTTTCTTGAAAAGGACGTAAATCAACAATATTAGTCGTATTCAATTCTAAATTTTGATAATCGAACAGAGATAGAAGCCAATTATTATATTCCTGCTCACTGATGTAAATTGAATTGTCTAAAATAGACAGAAAATCCCGTTCCATATTCCCTAATAACTCTAATGGTATACCCGACATTTCAGACCATGATTTGTTTGAATATGTAGAATCTTCGAGCCATTTATGAGCTAATATCAATCCAACCACGAGCAGGACAAATTCCGGATCATAAGGATATATATCAAAATCTTTACCGCTTGATAGAATCCTTTGAACATAATTAAGCATTATTATTACCACGGGACCTAAACAATCTGTGGTTTTGATAAGCTATTATAAGAAAAAAAAATTTTTTTTTCTTTCCCTGTTAAGAATTATTTCTAAAAATAAAATAAAATAAAATAAAAACATACAATTTACCTACCTTATAACCAAACTCTTTAAAGTCCTCACCAAGATTTAACTTTTGTGGTAATTTCGGCAACATACGCCAGATAGCTTCAGTCGCGAAATTTGCCCATTTTAAATGCATGTCGGTGGTTTTTTCATGATCAACAGCCACCACAGTTTTTTCGACGTTAACTTCCTCTAGTTTTTGACGCGCCGATAATTCCGGATGAAGAAATAAGGAACAATAATATTGTTCTGGATTTGGAAAGGACAATGAACCATCAAATAAGATTTGAGTGATAGGTCCAAATTTTACCCTTCGATTATCTTTTGCGATCATATATCTAAAATATGGAAAGGTCCACCATTCTGGTGAAGGAGCAGGAGAATTGCGAGATGAAAAGGAACTCTGAGAAACAGCCGGTAATTTCAAAGTTGAACTCAAAGTGGGTGAGTATTTAAAATTTAAATATGAAGTGAGCATTGAATAAGTTGGAGAGAGAAATTTCAATGTAACCCGATAGTCCTTTGAGGTATGAGTGGATTGCAATTTCAAAGGTGAATTTGAAAAACGCAAGTGTGTTGGTAAAGTATTCGTAGAAGTTGGTGATGGGAAATATTATTTTTGCATTATTTTCGTAAAGAACATTTGATAAATTTAAACCGGATGAGATCGACTTCAAATAAATCAAAAACTTGAAATAAAAAAAAGGGAAATTGAAAAGATATTGGTAAAGAATGAAAAAGAGATTTAACTCTTTTCAATTAACTTCAAAAATATTGAAGCCCTCTTGAGAAACAATAACAAATGGACGGAAAGGACTTTCACAGAATATACCAATTAACAAGTATAGTAACGTATGAACTGTGACTAACGCAAAGAGCTGTTGGCCACCGAAGGAATATACAATGTATTTGAACGGAACGTCTAAGAAAACGGCAAAGACTAAAATCCGTTTTAGTGAGGTCAAGAGTTATTGTCACCGAAATCGTAAACCTTATATCTTTTTTTTTATTGTGCTAGTATGAAGAATGCCTAAATTGGTTAAGTGAAAATGTCCGATTGATTGGTCGTAACAAATCCCATTGTACCGAATCATCCATCAAAAAAAATAAAAAAAAAAAAAACTCCTTTTACATGTGTAACGTTTCATAAATCGACTCAAAAAATTTTAGAGGCTTTTTTCTTTAAGAACAAAAAACTCTTGTTTATAACACGTTTTGAACAGTTTGCTGAAGTCAAAAAAAATAAAAAAGAAAAAAAAAAAAAGAAAAATTTATCTCCGACGAAATTTTGGCGCAAACTTTTTACATTTAATTGTTACGCGACAAAATGACCCAAAATAGTTCCGCGTAATCCCAATATTTGACAAAGATGGTTAAAGGTTGAATGTATGCATATGCATATAATACTCAAAAAAAATCATATTCTATAGTTATTACAAAATGATGTTTTAATACAAAATATTGTTCCACTAGCTAAGATAAAAATAGTTAATGATCACGTGTAACTACATATTTTGAAACATAATGAATTAATTGAAATAAATGTTTCGTCTCAATAAATGAGCTCAGTAATCCCTAACTTTCAGTTATCAAAAATTGGGTTTTTGACGCGTCTTATATATATTGTTATGATTTGACAGTTTAATACATGTAATAAGATCCTACTTGCATTTGATTTTACTTATTTCAAACTCCTGCATCTTTGTTTAGTTTATACCTTATGTATCGTACATCCTTCACAGGGAATCTTTTCAAATGATATTTATTATACAAATACAAATAACATTTTCTTCTTATTATTCTTATTATTAAATCTGTCGTTACACTAAAAAAAAAGATGATTTGATCGAAAAGTTGCTGTTCAAAAAAATATCAAGTAAATTGCTTCGACTCGGGTTCGAACCGAGGACATTAAGCGTGTAAAGCTTACGTGATAACCACTACACTATCGAAGCCTTATGTGTATTGTGTTTTTAATAATTCCCTCAAATAAAAATTCGATACGTCGTTAGGAAAACCCCCTAAAAAAAGAATGAAACCGTAAATAGAAACTTATTTGGTAATCATCGAATAATGAATTTAAAAGACAGCTTATTTTGTAACCATCATGTGAAATTATGAAATTCGAATATCGTAAACTTTTCTGAGAGCATAATAATGACAAACGAGGTAAATAACCTTAATTTTAGCAAATCACAAAAAGCTTTTAAAAAGTCTCTTGTTCTAATCTTCCGAATAATGAAATAATGAACCATCAAATCTTAACTCGAACAATTCAAAATCTTATTGACTCAAATTCTTTTTTAACTACTATCGAATCATGTACTGGAGGCCTTATTGCTCATCTTGTTACTGACGTTCCTGGAACAAGCAATGTCTTTTGGGGTGGAAGGGTCGTTTATAACAACTCTGCTAAAATAGCTTTAGGCGTTTCTCCTGATTTACTCGAGACTTATGGTGCCGTGTCTCAAGAAGTCGCTCTTTCCCTAGCTGAAAATGGACTTTTTGAATTACAAAAATTCTCGAATCAAGATAACCGTTTGATTTGCATTGCTACCACCGGTATTGCTGACCCTAGAGAAGAAAGCTCTCAAAAACTTGGTGGACTATGCTGGATAGGGATAGCCTCAACTGCTCATCCTCCATTTGCTGTGCGAGTTGAAGCTTCTCCTCACCATTCAAGAGAAGAAACAAAACTTGAATTTGCAATGAAAGCATTTGAACTAATTAAAGAAAGTCTTGAATTAAATGTTAATTATGTTACTTTAGGGAGAATGAAACTTTGAAAGTCATCAATGTTTGATTTGCCGTGTAGGAATAATTTATCGTAAATCCGATCAAAAAAGTTGTCAATAAAATCTATAATAGTATATTTTATTCAATTTTGAAATTTCTCTTATTTTTAAATAAACCTTTTTATTTTTTACTTTATAATTAATCATAATAGAAATACATGACAGAAAAATTAATTTCTCAAAAGAATTTCTTTATTGAGCGGTTGAAGTCGATGGTTTCTTTTTCTTCTCTGCCTCTGATTCTTTTTCCTTTTCGATCTCATTAACAATAGCTTCAACTTCTTCAATTTCCAAATTCTTACGGTAAAGAAATTTTTTTATGGTATTAGTATATATGTCACGATAAAACCAAAATTAATGGAAAGAATATATGCTATCATTTACCTTCTTACTATCACATGTCATGACTGCAATCTCAATATTTTTGGCACCAGTTTGCACTACCTAAAAATACAAAATACATGTTGAATTATTCATGATTATGAAAAGCTCGAATATATAAATTGCTTGTAAAAAAATCTACCTCCAAAAGAGATTTAACTGCTAATTTGATTGATCCTTCTTTCGATAGTCCCTCCTTATAATTCTTTTCCAAAAATTCACGGACGGTTTTCGAACTTCTACCAATTGCGTTCGCCTGAAATAGTTTTTAACGCGTATTTATAAAAAATGAAAAAAAAACTATTAACAAGTTGCAGTAATGAAAGACAGAAAATCCCGAAAAAGCCGATTTGAATCTAATACCTTCCACGCGGAGTATATACCCGACGGATCGGTTTGATAAAGACTTGGCTTTTTGTCATTTACGTCAAATCCAATAATAAGCGTTGAAATTCCAAATGGTCGAACTCCACCACTTTGTGTATATTTCTAAGGCGCAGAAGGAAAAATAGATGTATTAGAATATTTATTTATTTAATCGATTTCGACTTGGCTTAATGTTTTTAACTTTGCGTACCTGTTGAATTCCAGCAATGTAGGATGTAATATATTCTATCGTCACTGGATCTTCCAAGGAGAGTCTATGACTTTGACATTCTACTCGAGCTTTATTAACAAGCACCCTCGCGTCTGCACTAAGACCTATCATTTGATTTTGATACCTAAATTAATTATTCAACTAAAACGAAATAAATACAAATAAGATATCTTACCAGCAAAGGCCATACACACGTGGTCATCGAGCATGACAATCTTACGCACGGTTCGAGGGTCTTGTAATTTAAGTACAGACTTCTTCTCCACACCAAGAACTACACAATCCTCCCCAACAACTCCAACCTATATGAATCAAAACAAATTAGAAATAATGAAATGTAATCATGACCTATATATCGTTGTTAAAAATAAGAATTTCACGCGACGTTGGACTTTCTCCATTACGGTACGTAAAAGAACCATTATCACGCTGAAACCAACTTTATTATTTAGTTCTACCAGTACATACCGCACACGTTCCTTTCCTCACAGCTTCCAAGGCATATTCGACTTGAAATAAATGACCGTCTGGTGAAAAGACGGTCAGCGCTATATAGATCGAATTTTAAAATTTCGTAAGTATTAAGTTTCTTTAACTTCATACAGAACAAGTTCAACACTCGATAAATCCTACCGCGATCATAAGAGTTGCTACTCATAATGTCTTGAGAGTTGTAAGGTATGCAAAAGTGGTGTGTTGAATATTCGAAATATCAAATGTTCCAAGAGGTTGAACATCCCATTTAAAAGATCAGATAATTTAGCTAAAATTATACGTCACGTGTTTTGTTCACCCAATTGGAAATTAGATTACGAATTTACCAAGTCAACGTAATTTTATATTGAATCACGTGAAATCAGAACCGAATTTTATTTTAATCTCTTTTTCAAAATGAGTAATTTTGATTGCAAAGAACAGACAAATTCACAAGGAATTTACGAGTTTCAAATTGATAATGACACAACTTTATTTATAAAGCAGCAAAACAACACTTTAAATCATGGCACCACAATATGGGAATCTTCCATTATAACTGCACAATACATGCAACAACTTTTACGTTCTTCCGATAATAAATTAAAATCAAAGAGATGCATCGAATTGGGAAGTGGATGCGGTCTATTGGGTTTAATTATGTGTTCCATGGGATTACAAACTACTTTAACAGATTTAGAAGCCGTATTGGTAGATGTTCTCCAAGACAATGTTAAACATAACTTATGGATTTTAAATCAGAATAGGATAGAGAACAATTCTCCCTTTATTGCGCAAGCGAAAATTTTGGATTGGACTGTAACCCAATTAATACCTCCGGAATTTACACCACCTTATGATTATATAGTTGCGACCGATTGTGTATATTCTTTAGAACTAATTTCTCATTTTGTTCGATGTTTAAACGAATTAGCTAATGAAAAGACTTTAATCTTTTGTGGTTTGGAAAGAAGGGATCCATTTGTCGTTGAAACTTTTATAAACGCGTGTAAAGGAGGTTTCTACGTGGTCAAAATACCTGAAAAAAAATTGAGAAAAATGATTTATAAAAATGCAAACAATGAAATTACTGTAGAAATTTATCGATTAAAGAAAAAGAAAACAATTAAATAAATAAAAATCGAGCCAATCATAAGATGGAAATTTTTTTTTGTTATAATTGATCACGCGTCAATCCTATCTTTGCTAATTGACATTTTTTATAAGAAAGAATATTTAGGAATGCCAAATGAATATTAATTTGTATTGTAATATAATATAAACGTTACCCCATTTTTTTGTGTATTGAATTAATTGTTTAATATAGTGTTGAATGAAATAAGATAAAAAAAATTACATTTTATTAAACTATCAAATAAATTACGAATTAATACATTTTGACCAATTAAAATCTACAATTAATCGTTTTTAAATACGAGCATTCACAATAGTAACGAACTCTGGCTTCAAAGATGCACCTCCCACGAGGAATCCATCGACATCTGCTTGTTTTGCTACAAAAGATGTGGAATTTCATTAGAATGTTATTCATATCTGGATATCAAACGAACAAAATTCTATGATCATCTTACCAAGCTCTGCGGCATTAGAAGCATTTACGGAACCTATATTAATTGATTACCGAAGATTGATTTGTTAGAAGTGAGACCAAATTAAAATTTGAAGAGGGATTCCTTAACCCATTACCTCCATAAATAATACGTATATTTTCGGCTGTAGCTTCTGACGTATTTTCCTTTAACCATTTTCGAATAAACTCATGAACTTCTTGAGCCTACCACAAAAAAGAGTATTATGATTATAATTAAAAATTTTTTTCTAAAGTAATAATTTCACTTAAAATGAATCAATAAATAATGCGTACTTGCAGAGGAGTTGCTACTTTTCCCGTACCAATCGCCCAAACTGGTTCATATGCGATTACGACATTCGTCCAATCGTTAACCACCTTGGCGATTGATTGAAGTTGTCGAGTTACAACTTCAAATGTTCTACCAGCTTCCCGTTCATCTAGTTTTTCTCCAATACAAGCGATCACTTTTAGACCAGATTTTAAGGCAAATGCTACCTTTGATGCAACAAACTAACAAACCATCAAAATTTTACGTCGTCATTAATAACAGGTCGAATCAAATAAAAAAATTTGAAAATCAAAAGCTCTTAAACGTACATCATCAGATTCTTTAAAAATCTCGCGACGCTCTGAATGTCCGAGAATGACCCACTCGATACTTAGGTCCTTTAATTGTTCAGGGCTGTCATTTTCGTAAAGCAAAGGGTAGATCATATTTAATATTACGAAGACAACTTTGAAAGCACGGAAATACAAAGAGTCACACCTGATCTCCCCAGTATAAGCACCACTAGTAGCGTTAAAAGCATTCTGTGCTGCAACACCGATTTCTTTACGAACTTGTTTGCGACACTGATCGAGATATAATGCAGGTGGCGCGATTACCACTTCTACATTTATCAAGGAGAAAATAAACATGATATACCACATGAGATAAGTAATTCCAAGTTTCTTACAACTTTCAGCAATCTGAAAAAAATAAAAATTCTAACCAACGTTATCATCTAATTGACCAGCATTTAAATTGTCAATCAGATTTTTAAGAAAGGTTTGTGTTCCATTCATTTTGAAGTTACCTTTAAAAAAGAAAAGAAAAGAAAATTAGCATAGCGAATTCAAAAAAATGTCAACACAGAAAAGTCATCCGATAGCAACTTACCACCTACAAAAAATCTACGACCCATGGCTATAATATTTTATTAGAAAAGAATATATATAAAGATTAAATCGCTTGTAAACTAAACTTTTTGAACAAATTATTTTGGGTATATATATATTTTTTTTTTTTTAATATGGTTTTGGGCTCCTTTATATACCTTTTCATCTATATAATCAGATAATCCAGAACTTTAAAAATTATTGGATAATCATCAACAAACTGTTCCCTTTTTATCTAATATGCACAAGGATATGATGCAACATTCGATAACAACATACGATAATTACGATCAATCCGCAGCCAAATTTTATTTCATATGAAGAGTCATGTGAATTATGAATATTATGAATCATTTATAATTTATAAGATTAAAATAAGTAAATTTAATTTATTGTTTTTCTTTTTTGTTTTTTTTTAAAAAAAAAAAATTAATTATTTAATTAATTAATAAAAAAGAAATAATTAAAAATAAAAAAATTATTAAAATTAATGTAAATAATATATTTTTTTTTTTTTAATTTTTTAATCAATTTTCGATCAATGTAATATTACATATGTTACATAATAAAATATGTATAAATTCAATTCATTCATAATGAGAATTTTTCACTCAACTTTCCCCAAAAAAATATTCAATAATAAATAAAAGTATAAAACTTTCATCGTTTTAATTTATCGAAATTATAACTTTAATTCCTTGACAACTTTGTATCCAAGGTAAAGCTTGTCCCAATAAATGTCTTCATTGTGCTTTCTCGAGATAGACATGTAGTTATGTAAAAAAGAAAGACGGTTATTATGGAATAATTTCCATAAGTTTTACGCGTCTTGTTTTTACAACTATTTCATATCTACTTTACCAAAAACCTTAGTTAAAATCATGAAAATCCGTCATCTCCTTCATGATGAGTTCGATTCTTCTCAAGAAACATTATCCCCATTTGACTTTCAACAAGTTAGCCCATCGTTTCTTATATCTTCCGATAAGCAACAATCAAGTGAGATGTTACTTGATCAAGGATCCTCCAGCTATGATTTTGCCAAACCCAAAGAGCTCATGTCTCCTTCGATCCAAAAGTATAGCGCTAATGAGATTGAATTGCCACAATTTTTTAACGAGGTTTCATCTGTCAGTCTTGATAATGAAGAGAAAGAGACTTCAAAGTCCAACTCTTTTATTGAACTTCCTCCCCTACAATCGTTGTCAAACTTCACCACCAACCTACATTCATCTTTTAATTCTCCATTCCTTGTTCCCTCCAAGGAAGATATATTACTTAAAGATCCTGATTTGTGGTCTCAATTTTATCGCGTCGATAATGAAATGATTATCACAAAGGCTGGAAGATGCATCTTTCCTTTATTAAAATTTCAGCCTGTAAATTTAAATCCTACCGTAAATTATTCTTTTGTGATTGATTTTGTCCAAGTATCAGCAAACCGTTATAGATATAAAAAAGGAAATTGGGTTTGTATAGGCCTGGATAAACGTAGATTTTTATCAAACAACTTTAACAAGCAAGGTGGTAAACTACTTAAAGTAGGCTCAGTTTGTGGAAATCCATACACTCATCCGGATTCTCCGCAATCAGGTAAAAGAGCGAGAAAACTACTACCATCTCGTTTATAAATATATCACGTGATCACCTTAATTTTTCTCTTCACAATCTATTTAGGTGCTTATTGGATGAATTTTGGCTTAAACTTTCCGAAAATTAAACTTACAAATCGTATGCGCCTAAGTCCATCCAAAGCAAAGAAAAGGAGAAGAAATGACTTGGTTACAAATAACAATATGTCACTCCCCGCGGGTCATTTTTATCTTACCACTTTCCACAAATATCAACCTCGCGTTAAAATGATTAAACATTCAGCTCTTGAGGATCAAGTAGCGTTTTACGCTTTTGAGGAAATGACATTTATCGCTGTAACTCATTATCAAAATGAAGCGGTTAATGCTCTAAAGAAATGTAATAATCCTCACGCTAAAGGATTTAAAGAATCTTTGGATCAAGATGTTAATAATAATACAGAAGGATCCAAAAGTTCCGATGATGAAGATTCTGAAGTTGGTCAATACGATGAAAATAATGAAGTAGACCTTGAAGAAATTAGTGATTCGGAGGAAGATGGTGAATTTTATAATAGTTCGTTATCTTATCCAACGACATCAACTACGAGTCAATCAAATAATTCTACCCTTATAGATCAAAGAATTCAACAATGGAGACAAACTATTAATAATGAAACAATTTCAAGCGATGACGTGTTTCGAACGAATCGTACAAATCTTTATGAAAATAAGGGAGAATTCCGCGCAAAAGTTGTAAAAAATGCTCATAATCCTTTATGTAAACAAATAATTTATGAACACCCTTCAGAAGATAAACGATCTGATATTGATATGTATGTAGCCAGTTCTCGACAAATCCCTCCTCCAACTTCGATCTCTTCAAGAAATTTTGATTTTGATACCTTTTCAAGTTCTGGATATAATAATAAGTTCAGCACAAATTCAGATAATGATCCATATTGGACAGATTATGGTTCTCAATATAAAACAGAAAATATTACATCAAACCGAATTTCAAAACAAAATCAACCAATTATAGTTCGATCCTTTCCTCATCCAGCTTTCAAATCTACAACACCATCTGTCTTGGCTCAAAGAACTCCATATCCTCGAAAATATGATACAGAAAAAGGTTTGCAGCAACAAGAAGAAATTAGGGCACGAAATACACATGCTCCCGAATCTCCATTGTCACCTGGAAATATATTCTTTTCAACAATTTCTAACCATACACCATCAAATGTTGAAAATTCAACGTCACATTCAAGTATTCGGCTTGAACAAGTTAAAGATGAAAACAAAAGATTAAGAGAATTTATACGTGAGAGATATGGAGTTGAAGCAGAGAGAGAAGCTGATGTTGTGGTTTCCCTTGGAGGAAACGAATATAAATGATATCAGATTTGCGATGAATTTTAATTGATATTTAGAGTTCAAAGCTAAAAGTATGGTGTGCGTTTTTTCGCTGTTAGTTTTGTCCGATTGGATGGATAATGGATACTTAAGTTTGATACATGAATAAATGTAGAATATTTGGTGAATTTTTTTTTTTTTTTTTTTTTGATAATAACTTCATTCAATAGTGGTATTCGATTGAAGTTTGGCATTAGAATGATTTTATCTTTAATTTCTAGTCATCGTTCTTTATTGGAAACTTTCATTTTCATTTTTATCTTTTTTATTTTGCTTTCCCGATTTATTTGCAATAATTTCCCCTTTTTTTTTTAAAAAAAATGTATTAATTTTCTGCTTAGCGTTATATTTACACTGAAATTTTTTTGTTTTATACTGTAGGGATATATGTAATATTACATAAGTATATTCAATAACTGATTGCAATAGATTATAAATTCTTATAGTAAAATAGTAGTAAGTAATAGAAATCTTTGTATTCATCTTTATTATATTATAATAATTAGTTAATTTCATTATAATAATAATACGGGCATTTTTTTAATTCTAATGTCAAAAATGATTCGCCTTTGAATTTAGAGATCCGTGAAAAAAAATAATGGGACAAATCAGAAGAGAGGTGCGATTGTTTCAAAATTATTTAAAATTTCAAAATCAATTTCACGAGAATTTACTTACTTCTATTACAATTCCAAGATAAATTATGTTAAATTGATTGAGCAAAAGTATCCGAACATAGGATGTCCGTTTGGAATCTGTGATTAATATAGACTTTATAATTCTTTGAACTTTGTGATTTATAATTGCTAATAAAATCAAGATTTTCCGGATCTCTATTAAAAGCGGGAGAGGGGATTTTTTTTTTTAATAAAGAAAAGAAAAGAAAACTTAATAACTTACCAATGGATTTAGATTTACTTACTCCCATTTTTTACATGAGATGAACTTCTTTATGGGTCCTTTCCACTTTGCGAAAAAAATTTCTTTTTTTATTAAATTCTTTTATGTCACAAACCCAAGCATTTTTTCAGCAACCTTGGGACCTTTGCGGACAACTTTAACAATACATTCCGCATCTACTCTTTATTTGATCTTTAAGCAGGAGCGGGCAATAACTTGAAGTAAGAAACCTTTCCCGAACCAACAATTTAGTCGCGTAAGAATGATAATGGGTTTTGAACTTTGACTAAAATTAATTAATTAAAATAAAAAGAGATAACAACCACTAGCTTTCTGCTCCTCAGATTTATAATTTAAAAAGAAAAAATATATGGATCAAGACAAAAAAATTATTTTTGAAGGGAATGAGCAGATTGATTACTTGATAAATACTGTTTAAGAAATAATATAATAAAAAAAATACTAAGTTATTAAATAAAACTCTTTTTTGTCCAAAAAAAAAAAATAAAAATAAATTATGGAATATACAGGAGTTGGCGCGTAAACGATTGATTCCCATGTTTCAAACAAATGATTTTGTTAATCTACAAATAAATTACTGTACATTCATACAGTAGATTAATGATATTCCTAACAAAAAGTGAAACCCGATTGATCCTTTGATCTTCATCTTCGACACCATAATAAAGTTGGTCCCAGATAATAATACTAAAATCTTTTGTAGACGTAATATTTGATAAATGCATATAATAAAAATATATTTATATGGGAAATGATCAATATTCAGGTAATCCAATATTGAATAAAATCCGATAACTCGTTGCCATTAATAAAATCGCTCAAAAATGTGCTTTTACGAAATCGTTCAAATTACTCAAGGGTTAACGATGAGCGTCGATGGCGTTAATGTTTTGTTTTGATTAGATTTGAAAGGATATGCATTATGAAATATTTGGTAAAATGAATATTTAGAAATTGCCTATTGTGATGATCAGAATGATCAACTGTTTCTTGTGTCAAACGAAGTTATGGTGGCAATTTCCATAGATCAAAAGATGTTGAACAGTACATATGATCAGTAATGTAAACAACACATGATAAATGCTCGATTATTATAAATATAACTTCGTTTCGCCTTTCATATTTCGCATCCGGTCAACAAAAAGTTATTAAAAGAGCAAGCAAAATCAAACCAAACAAGTTTTCATAATTTAAAATGAATACGATTAATATTATCAATGCTAAACAATCAGTTGTCATTGTTGCCTCGAAAGTAACAGAACGATCCAATCCTACAAATCAATGCTCTATCATGTAAATGCTCCCTCAGAAAAGAAAAAAAGAATTATTCTTTTCAGAAAACGAAAATTTTATCAAAAGTTGTTCTATTCTATCATTCATTTTTAATTTTGTTAAAAAAAAAAAAAAAAAGAATAATAATTTAATACTATTTCATTCTAATAATTTATATTTATTGTATATTGTTGATATAATTTTAAAACTAAGCTAATAAACTAAATAACTTAATATTATAATTATTTTCTAAGAAAAATAAATAATTATCAATCAAAATAATTTATTATTACAATTTACTTTTGTAGTAGATTATTATGATTAAATTTATTTTCTTCATTTAAATCATTCTAATAAACATTTATAAATATAGAATTTGATTTTAATGACTATAAACTTCATTCGCGAGAATTTCGTTTTATCTTCCTTGATAGAAATTGCAAAATGTATTAATATTTAATCTTCAGATATCTTTTAATCTCCAAAACATTAGTGATGTAATTCGACTAAAAAATTTTGAAAGTTATCTAATTAGACTCGTCCAGTTATAAAGATATCAAACATTTTATCAAAATTAATAAATTAACGTGTCGTGTAAAAAAAAAAGAAAATTACAACTTGTATGAAATCAAGTGTCAAGCAGGCAGACAACAGAACACGTGTAATAAGTTGCTTCGCTCTAGACTAAAAATTGTTTCCATGCATAATTTTGACCAATGATAAAATAGTGGCACATGACTTGGAATTTATAACAAAAGAAAATTATTTTTAATTTTAAAGAATTATCAGAGCACTGCATAGGAGGAGAATACTCTGACCGAAAGCCATTTGTATTCTTAACAATCTCCTCTAAAGAAAATTATTAGTCGATTATTCACATAATATATATATTTGCTAAATTCTTATTTTAGCTCATAAGAAATAAATATGTTTTCTGAATCTCATGATCCATCGCCATGATAATTTTAAATAATTCCCTTTAACATTCTTTGTAACTTCATAAATTATCAATTTTATATACACAAAATATATACTAATAAATATTCACGTTACAAATTACGCGAAAACGCTAATAATCAAAGATGCGAAGACTACAATCAAACTCATTGTAACTCCCCACAAGCTGTGGCTATTAAATTCGTGTAATCTTATCGTCGTACTCGACAGGTCTTCATCAACCGCAAGAGTGACTGGTGAGACCATTGTTTTTACCACAATTACAGTTGATGGAGGAATGTATGTTGCGAAGGTTGTAATTTTTCCTAAAGAGTTAGTAGTTGTCATTGTTGTGGTATAACCGGCGTAATATAATGTAATTGTGGTTGTGATTGTTGTATAAGACGTTATTTTATGTTGCTTCTTCTTCTTTTCATCATTATTTTGATTTTTTTTCTTCTCATCTTTATTATCACCTTTATTCCCATCATTATTCCCATCATTATTCCCATTATTCCCATTATTTCCATTATTTCCATTATTTCCATCATTATTCCCATCATTTTTCTCATCACCATTATTATTATCTGGAGTTGGCATTATTGTTTCTATTGATGTTTGCACAGATGTCTCAACTATCGGAGTGCTATTAATGGAAAGGTTTTTAGTAAATAAAAATAACATCATTATTCATTGCATATAATATTCACTTACACTCCTGATGGAGGTTTGCATCGTGGATCATCGGGAGAAGCGCATGTTTGGGAGGGCTCAGTTTCATTCGGTACGGGTTCTTTCGGTTCTTTCGGTTCTTTGGGTTCTTTGGGTTCTTTCGGTTCTTTCGGTTCTTTCGGTTCTTTGGGTTCTTTGGGTTCTTTGGGTTCTTTCGGTTCTTTGGGTTCTTTGGGTTCTTTGGGTTCTTTCGGTTCTTTCGGTTCTTTCGGTTCTTTGGGTTCTTTGGGTTCTTTCGGTTCTTTCGGTGGTTCTTTCGGTTCTTTCGGTTCTATGGGTTCTTTCGGCTCTTTGGGTTCTTTCGGTTCTTTCGGTTCTTTGGGTTCTTTCGGTTCTTTCGGTGGTTCTTTCGGTTCTTTCGGTTCTATGGGTTCTTTCGGTTCTTTTGGTTCTTTTGGTTCTTTTGGTTCTTTGGGTTCTTTGGGTTCTTTCGGTTCTTTCGGTTCTTTCGGTGGTTCTTTCGGTTCTTTAGGTTCTTTGGGTTCTTTCGGTTCTTTCGGTGGTTCTTTCGGTTCTTTAGGTTCTTTGGGTTCTTTGGGTTCTTTCGGTGGTTCTTTCGGTTCTTTGGGTTCTTTGGGTTCTTTCGGTTCTTTCGGTGGTTCTTTCGGTTCTTTCGGTTCTTTGGGCTCTTTCGGTTCTTTGGGTTCTTTCGGTTCTTTCGGTTCTTTCGGTGGTTCTTTCGGTTCTTGTCGTTTTCGAAGAATGCTGATCGAATCCTTCAGTTCATATGTTGGAGATGCATCATTAACGGCAATAAATACCGCTATAAGGATTATTATAAGTAAACAAAGATGCTTGCATTTGAGTTTTATATAATACATCTTAAGTCTAATTGAAAAATTAAAAAAATTAAGAATTATTTTTCGACCATTTCGAGAAAAAAAAAAATCTTTGAAATCTTGATTATCGTTTATTAAAACAATTTATACTTTATAATTTACCAAATTCGTCGTTATCCACGAAAATCATTTGTCAATTTAATTATCCCTTTTTTAACAGGTAATGAATCAAAATACTAATTAAGTAAAGCCATAGTCGTCATATGATTTATTTATAATTTCGTTGTATACTAAAAATAATGATAATAGAAATAGAATTCAATGGAGAATTAAATTAAATATTATCATTTTTTTTTTTTTTCTTAAAATGATAATCATAATCAGTTAGTTTAGTTCTTAATATATTTTAATAAAGAACATGTGTGTGAAAAAACTTTATTTCGTCGAATTTAATGATCGATAAGCCACATACTCAACGTTTTTGATATTCGAATTTCGAAATTCAAATTAATTTACAAGATCAATTTTATTATGAAGTTTCTAACACTAAGGCAAAAAAAAAAAAATCACGTTTTATCCAACATAACGTTCTCGCATCACTTCCGACGACTTTCCTCTATATCAATATTTTCAACTTCAATTAACTTCTTCCCTTTATCTTAATCCAATTCTGAATTTAATTCTTGCGTATATGAATAAAAAACTTGGAGACTCATTACCTAAGGAATATCCCTTTTATAAGGTGAATATTTTTTAAAAAAACGTAAGTAAAAAGAGAATTGTTATTCAAACCTTTCTTGATTCTTTTAAATAACACATTGTTAATATTTGTGCTATTTAATCATCTTTGATTAACAAAACCTGGCATGACAAATTCTGAATACAATCTTTTTCGTATGAATTACTTAATTGGCCACTTCTAAGGTAGAGAGAGGGCCTAAATTCTACCGGTTAAGAATAGTAGATTGCGATATTAAGATTTTTTTTTTATCGTAGAGTAGAAAAGAGTCCTTATTCTCCTGTATTTTCGTCATACAGATTTTTTTTTTTATGCTACTTTGAATCAAATACCCATAAAGTCCCGACTAATGATCATCAAAACACGTCAATCTTTATGGCAAAAATTGCTCGCGAATTTAAGATAATCAGTAAAATAGTAATCCAAAATACTATACTCCTATTTTATTCATATTCGGAATCCTTGTTGTCTGAAATACTAATCATCAACCGGAGCAGTGATCACTAGCTTAGAAGATTTTTTGCTGAGCCATGCACTTCAGCCAGATTGTGTGACAGAAAATGTAGATCATCAATTGGAGTCTTCAACGACCAAAATTATGCGGACATATTGATTTGTCAAAATTAGGCAGATCGATCGTTACGTGATTACATAATTAAAACAATACGTCATTTTTTACTTATGAC